CTTGTTATTTTCAAATCCTGGAATCATTTATTCTCCAGAAATAACAAAATTTTTGGAATTTAATAAATCAACATAAAATTACTTAAAATTTTTTTTTTATTAAATTCGACCTTTAACTTATTAAATATTTGCTATACGAATTATCATCATTACGAGTCGTTTTTGCTGCCGTTAAAAAATGACTTAAAAAAAAAACAAAATTTGCAACGAAGACGACGACGATGATGATGATAATGATAAAACGACAAAAAAAAGAAAAAAAAATTATTTATTTTTCTTTTTATTACTTTTTTTTTTAATGGCGTATAAACGAAAGACAAATTTTTTTTTTTACGAAAAATTTCAAATGATAACAACCGCCATTAAAATATTGTCGTGTAAATAATATTTCGTGGCATCAAAATTAACGTGGAACGACGATAATGATAATGACAATCGTATATAAAATTTGAAAAAAAATAATAATTTGATGAAACTTAAAAATTTTCTTTTAAATTTCGTAATTTTCCCCTTCCTTCCCCTTCCTCTCCCCTATCCTCCCCACTGTCTTCCCCCTCTTTTTAAAAAAAATCCTAACTAATCTGCTTCCACGTCAATAAAATCTCTCGCGAGTTAAATATTTATTATTTTCTTATTTACTAATTACGTTCGTAATTAATTTTTTTTCCTTAAGAAACAAATCACGTGACGTAACGACATCATCATCATCATCATCATCATCATCATCATTATTCCAGTTTTAATCCAAATCAATTCACGAAATTAATTTTCCGAAACGTCTAAAATAATAATAATAATAATAATAATAATAAAAAAGAAAATTTTCTTTCTATTTTTCTTATCCCACGTTCATTATCACCACACGCCCTTTTTCTCAATTTTCTTTATTCTTATCACGACGTCATCATTCATTTTCACGTTCCAAATAAAAAAACAATAATGATAATAATAATAATGATAATAATGATAATGATAATAAAAGTTTTTCGAGGATCATTAACTTTCCATTTTAATATATATATACTCTTTCTTATTTAAAAATTTTCTTCCACTCTCTAAACTTCCGGTTTCCCCCCGTTCCTCCCTCTCTCTCTCTCTCTCTCTCTCCTTCTCCCCCACCTCCTCACCCTTCCCTACCACCCCCTTCTTACTCTCCCCACTCAAAAAAAAAAAAAGAAAATGAATCTTATTATTAACAGCAAAACGTGCCTGAAAAAAAATTTTCATTTCTCATCACAAATCAAAAAAACTCTTTTTCCCTTCCACGCACTTGTTTGTCGAAACAAACGACAAACAACGTACAAACGCAACAACTTGGAAAAAACATTTTTTTCTGCAAATTCTAAAAAAAAAAACGCAAAACAAAAAAGGTAAAAAAAAAAAAAAAAATATTCAATTTTAATACGAACTAAGGAATCGAGTTCGAAGCTGTTTCAGCAAAATATAATATTTCTTGTCATAGTATTACTCTATTACTACGATTCCATCTTTTACGAGTGTCAATATCACGAGGAGTAGTGGTAGGAGTGGTGGTGGTGGTGGTGATAGTGAGGCCATATTGCGAGGTAACCTCCTGGAATGGAGAGGACAACACAAAACAACAACAACAACAACAAAAAAAGTTTTATGTGCGAGTTATTATGACGTCATCCATAATCCCACACCTTTCTTTTTTTTTTTTTTTTGAAATAAAAACAAACAAACGACTAATCTCTCCCGTTTGTTATCGAAACAACAACCAAACTCCAGTAAAAAAAAAAAAAAAAATTTTTTTTTTTATTTAAAACTCCTGGAATTAATTACACGAAACCCCTTTTTTGTTCGTTCTGGAACGAAATCATTTCCCCAATTTTTTGGCGACAGTCGAAAAATTGCAAATAAAAAAAAACGTTTGTCGTTTGTTTCATGTTTGCCTTATCACGCAAAACAAACAAAAAAAAAAAACAAACAAAAAAAAAAAAAATTTGGCCGTGGATTTACATTTCTTTTCTCTTATCAATTAATTATTTGTCTCTGACATCGTTTTTGAACTCGTTTGTTTGTTTGTTTGTATTTACGCGTTTATTATTATTATTATTATTATTATTATTATTACTTTTTTATAATATTTAAAAAAAAAACGAATTTTATCATTTGTTTGCGTGAATGTGCGATAATTATTTCTTAAGAATAAATAAATTATAACGTAAATGCAAAAAAAAAACCGTTACGACTATTACGACTACTTGTCGTCGAACGATTCGTTCTCGAACGTTCGAATTCAAATTTTCAAATTATGATGGTGATGATCACATCACGCGAGGAATCACGATACGTTTTTTTATCATTATCATTATTATTACTTTAATTAGATTAATAATATAATAAAAATTATAATTTACCTTTTTTTTATTTATAAAATTAATTATAATTTGTCCTTTTGAAATGATTTATTAATTTCCAATATGGAGAATAGAACGACAGTTGCAAACACCAAATATCAATGATACTCTTTTTAACGTATAATAAACCAATCGAACATTTAATTTTTTACATTATTATTATTATTAATTAATTATTATTTAATAAATATTACGAAACACACGAGAAACAATGTCGTCGGAGCCGCGTTAAAAATTTAAATAAAAATTTTTTAATTTTGTATTAAAAAAAAAAAAAAATCCCGATGGTACCGATACTTAACGAGACGTGCACTTGAATGAAGTAATATCACACCAACGCGCGCAAATATTTCCAGAAATTTGTTTTTCTCATTTTTTTTTTTTTTAAATGATTTATATTCACGACGAATGAACTTTTTTTTTTTACTCATGCTCATTTTATTTATGTCACACGTTGTTCATTCGTTGTGAAATATGTTTTTTATATAAAACTAAAAATCGTCTCTGATTGGTCGGCCGTCGGTAAGTACGAAACGCATAAAAAAACCGTTGTCGATTATGTCTTCCTTTTTTTTTTGTACCTTCGTTATTTTTTTATCTACCATCCATTGCAAATTTTAATTTTTTATTTCTCGTTCTAGACGATATCAGACTAAATATATATATATATTTAGTTTGGCGCCGCTATAATCCCCCGTTGTAAAGATATCGATTATTATAAAATTGTGAAAATCGAAATTAAAAAAAAAAAAAAAATGTCAACACCTATTAAAAAAATAATTAGTGAAATTTTTTTCTTATCGATATTTTAAATTGTATATTATTATTATTATTACTGATAAGAATTAATTTTTTAAATAAGATTAATTATGAAATTATTATTTTGATTTATAAATTAATTTACGAATAATCCTACAAAAATGAATTTAATTTTTTTTTTTTTTTGCGTTTCGCGACATCTATTGATTATTTTTTAACTAAATAAAATTTCTTTAAAACAGTTATTTTTAGTTTTTAAATTACATACCTTTGCTACCATCTATTATCATTTTTAATAACTTTCGGTAAAACCGTATTTTAAATGCACAAAATATTATTACTTAATCATTTATAATTAAAAAACAAAACAAACACCATAATTATTAATTTATACCGCCATTTAAATAAATTATTCGTTGTCTCTTCCATTCGTGTTTTCTATTAGTTCAAAAATCTACCGCAAGACTGCAGGATTTAAACAACGACATCTCTCGGTGAATTTCCTAACTAAAACAACGACATCTATTGATGAATTTACGAACTAAACGATTTAAAAACATTAAAGTTTGTTATGATAACATGTTATCATTGTAATATTGAACTGTTTATTGTTTTGTTTTTGACTGAAACGAATGTTTGAAACAATCGATTAAAATCGATATTTCGATCGAATAAAATCCTATTTCTTATGTAAAAATATTAAAATATAAATAAAAAACATATTAAAATTAATAATAATAATAATTTTTTTAAAAATCAAAATCAATCCGTAAATAAATGTTAAATTAATCGAACTATAATCAATCGATCGCTTTTCCTGTCATCGCTTCGTGTAATATTTAATATATATTTCAATGAGCCTTTCATTCTCATAATTTATTAAATAAAAAAAACATAACCGGAAACGCGTTTTCTTCTTCTATGAACTTCCATTTCTTCCTCTCTCTCTCTCTCTCCACCTTTTTCAACTCCATTATAAACTTAAAAGTTAAATTAACAATAATTTCCCTTTTGTTTTTTTTCATTTTTTTTTAAAAACTTTATTTAACACAGATTACATATTAGAAAAAAAAAATTACAATTACAATTAAAACTTTTCAATACAATTTAAAAAAAAAAAAAAAAAACTTAAATAAATTAAAAAAAAAAATATTTAAAATAAAATGCAAATAAAGTTATTAATTAATAATAGTAATAATGATTTTCAATTTATATATAAAAAAAAATTTAATAATTATGACGATAATAACAATAATAATAATAATAATAATAATCTAAAATAATTACGTGTATGATGATCTAAAACTAAAAAATTTCATTTTTTTTGTAAATTTTTAGTGTCCGTTGTAGTTTCCGATTCCGAAAAAATTATTAAAAAAAAAATCATTATTATCTCCTTTTATCATTATTATTATTAATTATAATTATCGATTTATGAATTTTCATAGTATTAATCCCCTCCCCTCCCCTCAAAAAAAAAGAAACCAAAAAAAAAAACCAAAAATTTTTTAGTCAGGTGGGACAAACAGACACCAAAAATAAATAAATTTTTTTTTTTTTTTTTCTGTTTTTTCTTCTTCTTCTCCTCCTTCTTCTTTTTTCCTACAGGAATCCCCGAATACAATAAAAAAAAAAAAAAGAATAAATAATTCAAAAAAGACAAAAAAAAAAAAAAAAAGAAAAAAATTAAAATTAAAATAAAATAAAATTGAAAACAAAAAAAAAAAAAAAAAAAAAAGAAAAAAAAAATTAATCAATAAACTTGTATATATATAAAAAAAAAAAAAAAAAAAAAAGAGAAAAATTTCGCCGTGATTGTTGTTCCTGTCGCGATTTTCCCCACACTTTTCCTTTTTCTTTTTACCACAATCCCGAAGAATAACCGCCTGGAGGAATGCGAGTTCTTGTCGGTGCTGGATTTGCACTTCGATTATCCTGAGTGTCGTAACCCTCTCCGGTCACGGGATTCCCATCTGAAAAATACATCAGAATCAGTATCGAGTTTTCCATCGATCGATCGATCGATCGATCGATTGATCGATTGATCGACTAACACTTATTGAGAATAAACAATGAATGGTAAAACCAAAGGCTACGGGCATGAGATATGGAAAAAGAAACCGGAAAAGGAAATAAATAAGAAGAAGAAGCCAACGTATGAAACCTTTCCCGCTACAAATTACACAAAACCAAAAACAAAAAAAACTAAAATGGCGACCAAAACTACAAAAATATTACGATCGATGACGATGATGATGACGACAATTATGACGTCAGAAACTTTTTTACCTCTTTGTCGATGAACTCTTATGGCGTAATGTTCGGCAGTTTGACAACCTTCTCCGGTAAGAGGATTCCCGTCTGAAAATGTTCATTAAAAAAAAAACATTCATTAAAATCTTATAAAATTAATTATATCTTATTAACGTGTGCTAGAGAGAGAGAGAGAGAGAGAGAGACAAAAAATTTTTTTTAATTCCTCGAGTTAATTATGTTTACGAAAAAAAAAAAAAAAATGTCGTTAACACCCCAGTTCATTGACGACGGCCATGTTCAATCAACTCTCGCAACTCGAATGACGTCACTCATTCCATAGAGTAAGAAACCCCAAAACAAAAACAAAACTTTTTCTCAAAAAGCTACGAGATTTCTCACGATTGTCTAAGGACAAATATATATAGTCTGCTTCCACTTTAAAAACGAAACAAAATCTTGAGAGAGAGAGAGAGAGAGAGATAACGAGGCGATTCTAATGCGATTCTTTCCCCCCGATTGATTATCGCGTTTAAGAGAAGCAGAAGACAGGATTAACAAATCAAATCATTTTTTCATAACCTCGGGAATTTATAATAATAACGGGAAAATATTTGATGGATAGAAACCGATTAAATGCTGCCACGATCGTTTAGAGACCAAAAAAAAAAAAAAAAAAAAAATCTTTCCATCATTTTTTTCTCTTCTTTTTCCCACAAGAAAGACAACTTTTAAGATGATGGCCACGACCACACACACGCAAACAACTATTTCTTCTTCTTCTTCTTTCTCTTCTTCTGCTTCTTCTTCTTTCTCTTCTTCTTCTTCTTCTTCTCCTTAACATTAAATTTATAATTATTTAAAAAAAAATAAAAATTTCTCTCTCTCTCTCTCCACCTCACCCCTCCCCCATCCTCCCGTCATCTTCTTCTTCATTGTCTGCTTCTGCATCCTTTCTCTTTTCTACTTCCACGCTATATTTTATCAAATCCTCAAAACCACCTCGAGCTGTCGATTTTTAAAATCTGGATTATGTCCGTCCGACGTTGTTTAAAGTTTTAAAAAAAAAAAATAGAAAAACTTAAGTTCGACATTTTTGATTTTTTGTGGGGGGGGGAAACCAAACTTACTCCTCTGACGTTTTTGTATTTGAGCTGACAAGCTTCTTATCTCGGCGGATATATCGGCCGAAGGAATGGATATGGTTTCGAGGACTGCGCTACTTTTATCCAAGGAAGGAACGGATGGATTTTCTGTAATATTTTCGATTATATTATTTCCGGTAACGTTTTCCCCGGCAACGTTTACCGCGGTGATATTATTACCGCTTTTTCCGTTCAAAACTTCCGTTCCGTTAATGACCGAACCGTTAGAAGCCGTGACCGTGGATTCAGCTGGTGACACTCTCGGTTTTTCCAAATCTTCGGCGCTCGCAAAGAGACTGCTAGTTCCACCGCCTGGAGGTTTCAATACTCTGGAAAAAATAGAGAAAAAAAAAATTTTTTTATTTTTAATGATGTTGATGATTAAGACGTAAAAGTAATTTTTTTGCCTTTAAAAGAAACACTTTCAAATCGTGACGTAGCGCGGGGGGCAGGGGGGGAGGAAGAAGAGAAAAAAAAAAAAAAACAAAAAACTTGCCTGTGGTGACTTGGAGTACCAATAAAATCGGCACCAAATATGTCATGACACTCACCGCCACGAGGTTTCATTATCCTGGAACCCGATTTTTTTTTTTTTTCACATGAATAACATAAAATAACAGAGGGGAGGTAGGGGTGGGGAGAAAGCGGAAAAAAAAAGGCAACAAAACGAATTTCTCGCGGATAAATTTTAATTTTTCAAATTCGTTTTGTTGCCACGACGTGTTTCATTTACAATCATCTAAATTATTATTATTATTACCCCAACCAACGTTAACCCTTTTCTTAATTAAAAATCCTAAACGTTTTCTCTGGGGAGGGGAAGGGGGGGAACCACATCGTCATCGAAATTTGACTTTTTAAACAAAGGAAAAAAAAAAATTTACAACCTTGGTGGCACAACTCATGCGTGTACTTTTAAGGGCAAACCACCTCACCGCCTTTTATTTATTTACTTACTCTATGAAATATAAAAAAAAAAAAAAAAAATTTACGTTTATGGCATCGGACAACTACGCACAACATTCGCTCTACATACAAAAATACCCACGCACGCACACACGCACGCACGTACAAAAATTAATTAATTTAACGACCGTGAAGAATAAATTTACGCAGGAATGAACGACCATTGGCACGTAAGTTCTGCAAACAAAAAAAACACGCGCACGTACACACACGCGTAAAAAACATCATTCACGTAAGTGTATTTTCCGGCTCTATTTCGGGAACCCGAATTTTTTAAAAAAGGTTCAAAAATTTCCTTCTGACCTTTCGACCTCATCGAAAACGACCTTACCCTCATTCGAAATGGAACGACGTTCCAGACTAGATGAAATGAATTTAAATCCGTTTAACCTTTCTCTCATCATCCAACCGCCATCTTTCCGAACCGGATTTTTAAAAATTGACCCCTCACGACTCCAAATAATCGATACAGATTAATAACATAGAGAAGAAGGAGGAGAGGGGGAAGGGAGAAAGGAAAATGCCAAACACGAGCCCGTAAGAAATTTAATAAAGGCTACTTTCAAGTTTGGTTCCAAATAGAAAGTTTACAAAAAACCAACCCCCTTTCGTGCCTTTACAACACCACGAAATAATGATAATAATTTCGAATAACGGAATAGGTACCAAAAAAAAAAAAAAAAAAAAAGTAGGTTCATCATGAAAGTAGTCGCGCATTTTCAAAAAAAAAAAAAGAATCAAGATAGACAAAATAAAAAAAATATAAAAATGTCGAATCCCCGTTTGTTTATTTTTCCCCGCCTCCCCCCCTCTCTCTCTCTCTCTTCAAATCTCCTTTCCAACGTAAAGAAAATGTCATAATTTAACTTCGCGACAGGTGATAATGGAGAAGGAGGAGAAGGAGGGAGGAGGACGAGTTTTTCTCTCTTTCTCCACCCCTCCCCCCTCCCCGTCGTGTTCGCGAAGCCTCAGAGAAATTTTATCGAGTTGTTTGGCCAGAAAATTAATTTCAGAAAAATTCTTTCGAAAGGTGAAAGGTGGAAATAGAAAAATGAATGAAATGGCGAAATGTTTATTCGAAACGAAACGTCGTGGATTTAGACTAAGGCGAAATAAAGAAATAAACAATCGATAATAATAATAATAATAATAATTCATTCGATGCCACCGACGTTTTCCCCTTAATTGTACACCCTTCCGGTTTTTTTTCTTCTCCTCCTCCTCCTCTTCACATCTCATTCATCCACACGAGAATTGAACTTTGACACTGACAAATTATACCTGAAAATATCTGAATAATACCTGAAAATATCGCGTACGGAAAAAAATCGAGAATAAAACAAACGCGCACAATCAAATTTCAATTTCCACGTCGATTTACCCGAAATTTAGTAATAAACGAGAGAGAGAGAGAGAGAGAGAGATAAAATTTAAAAACCATCAGGAAACACGGCGGGAAAGGAGGAAGGAAATAGAAAAACCGTTCGTTTCGTACCTTAAACTTAACTTTTTCCGAACCTGATTCGCGGATCGTTCTTAAACTCCGACTGAAATCTTTACAAAAAATAAAATCCTTATTTAAATTTTTTTCGAATTAAATAATCGACATGCATGCAAAAAAAAAATCGTGGCACGATGACGATGACGATAATGATAATAATAATAATAATAATAAAAACGAGAAATCAAATAAGGCAAAACGCGAGCGTTCACGATTGGCTCACACGACGGCGCGGTTAATAATAATTAAATTTCGAAAAACCCACGTGCGTTTCGCATATATGGAAAAAACAACTTTTACGATTGATTTTCATCAATATCAATAATAATAATGATGATGATGATGATGATGATGATGATGATAATAATAATGATAATGATGATAATGATGATGTTAAAAAAAATAATTTTTTCTTTCATCGTTTATAATCGAATAAAAAATATTGTAAATTTTTAAATTGAGACTTTTACCGCCTTGTTTACAAACATGGTAATTCAATCGAATCGAGAATTTTGAATCCACCGAGAGACGCCGTTCGAACGCGACGTTCTCCAAACAAGGGGAGAAAAAGACAGATAGAGAGATAGAGAGAGAGAGATAGAGAGAGAAAGAGAGGGAGAGAGAGAGAAAACGCTTTCGTCAAAACCCCGTAAAAAAATTAATGAGTCAAATTTTAAAGGGCTCGATCGGGGGCAATCGGAGCAAATCCATTAGAAAAATGATTTCCCTCTTTTCTCTCCCTCTCCCCCCTTTCGCAACAAAACTTACATAAAAATACACAAAAATCATCATTATCATTGTAATTTTAATTTTATTCCGACGGTTATAAAAATAAATTTATTAAAAAAAAAAAAAAAAAAAACTCACGGAGAAAGTAAAAGAACTTGAAATTGTTTTTTTTTTCAATTACGAGACGTTTATTGAAATTTAAAATTTATTTCCTCGTATTTGACCGGAAGGCAACGACCATAAAAATGGCGACCGATTGAACCCGAACCCCACAATGAAATTCGTGGTAAAACAATCGAACTGGATTCATATTGTCCGTCGGGTACCCGACACGACCCGATTGATTAACCGAATTACCGCCCCGGTTAATTATGTCTAATAAAAAAAAAAAAAAAATTGATTTATCGTGGCGAGACCGACGTCACACACCCATACAAGAGAGAGAGAGAGAGAGAGAGAGACGTCACGCTACTCATCACTCTCGTGATAAAACGTACATCATCTTATCATATAGTAATACATTCAATTCCATACCCGCCTCCCTGTCTACCTACCCGCCTCCCTACCTGCCCCCCTGCTTTTTCATTCTTTTTTTAATGCCAGGAAACAAATCAATGGTGGGTGGGTGGTATGTCGTCGTCGTCGTTCGTGATTATAAATGAATATTTAAAAAAAAAAAAAAAAAAAAAAATACGTTAAAAATAAAATAGAAAACAATCGGAAATTCGTAAAAAAAAAAAATTCTTTCTTTCTTTCATTTTGTTGTTGTTGTTGTTGTTTGTTATCGATTTTCATACAACAATAAAACCGAACGAATTTAAAATTCAAAAACAAAAAAAAAGACAGAAATTTAAGGAGTTGCACACGCATTTGTACACGTAGTTTCCATTTTTTTTTTTTTTTTTTTTTTTTTTTTTTTTTTTTGGTTACACCCAATCCGATGCGGTACACATACGTACACCGAGATAATCCTTTACCGTCTTTATCCCCCGAACGAATATAAAACCGAAAAAAAAAGAATAATAATAATAATGATAATCCCGGGATTCGAAAAGTAGGCCGTGAAAGGTCAAAATAAAAAAAAAATGGACATAAGAACGAGTTGTGTGTGTGCGTGTGTGACCCTGACACCACACACACTTTGTTATTATCACTGTGTTTAAGGAAAAAATTCATCATCATCATCATCTCCTTCTCCATCGTCTTACACTTTCTTATTACTATCATTATTATTATTATTATTATTATTATTAGCGGTATCATTACCGACATCACAATCATTATTATTATTATTATTTTCTTTCCGACGAGAACCGAATACGAAAAAAAAGGCGATCTGATTTTCTAACAATAAATTATTATGGAGGCATCGATCGATCGATCGAACGATTGATCGATTTGATCGATGGCGATTCGACGAACGCCTCACAAAATACCCAAATAATCATGTTATTATTATTATTATTATTATTAAAAAAAATAAATAACAAAAAGGATTTTTCAGAGCTTTACGCGACGTGACGAATAAAATAAATTACTTTCTTTTTTTTTTTTTTTTATTAAAAACGGTAAATCCTAAGTTTTTTTAAAAAAAGAATCAAGGGAGGAGGGGGGGTGGGAGGTCAAACCTGAAATTCAATTTCCTTTCCACCTAATAAAATATATTAGAGAAAGAGAGAGGAAGAGAGAGAAATAGAAAAAAAAACATTAATTTTATATAAATTGACCAGTTGGTAATTTATTATTATTATTGTCATTATTACAACAAATTCATTTCCTATTTCATCTACCGTTAACTAGCCAAAAATTTTATTTGGGGGGCGGGAAAAGGGGGGAGGGGGCAAAACGTCTACGCGTTCATTTTACAACCTGTTTTATATACATTTCGCGTGGTCAATAGTACCGACCAAACACTATCATATCGAATTCTCTACTTCCTTCTCGTTCGTCCCGAAAAAAACAACGACAACCGTAACAACAACAACAACAACAACAACAATAACAACAACAGCAACAACGACAAAACCTTTCTCATTCAAATTTAATTAATTTTTATTATTAATTTCGCTAGCGAAAAAAAATTAATTAATTAACGTAACGCTTTCGTGAAGAAAAAGTGTTAAGAAACGCTTTTAATTTATGAAACACGCAACACCTCCTCCTTCTTCTGCCATAGTTAAAAAACAACAGCAACAGCAACAGCAACAGTAACGGTAACAAAACAAAAAAAAAGTAAACAATCATAAATCGATTTTTTAAAAAAAACCATTTCCTCCCACATTTTTTTTTGTTTGTTGTTAAAAATAAACCTTTAGAAAACCTGTAACGATCACAATGTGATAAGTT